AAAGCAGTTTTCTATTTTTTTTCTACTTACTCATCTGCATCCATAAGATGTTCAGGCAAAAAATTGTCTTTGACAATCACATTGCCCCAATATTTGATGATTTTACAGAGGATTTAAGATTGTTTCAGATAGCACGTCTAACAGCATCTCTCTCCCATCAAAATCATTCTTAGATCCTCTTGAGCAACCAGAAACACGTTAGACTCATACAAGGCAAGTAAAAATCATGTCTTGATTTTTAATGTCATCCATACACTTTCAAAGTTTAAAAAATCCCACCTATTTAGCAACAGCTTTTTTCCTCCATCTTCAGGGACAGAATTTAAAACAAATATACATATGTGCATACTAATGTAAAAAGTTGAAGTGCTGCTTTGTTGCTTTTGACTATGACTAGAAAAGTAAAGCCTATATTGTTGCTTTACTCTTTGCACAATTCACCGAAAGAGACAAGCTAAAGGAAAGGAAAAAAAATAGTATGGGATCTGGGGGGAAAAAAAAAAAAAAAAAAGCAGACTAACATATCAGTAATTAAGGTCCTAGGCAGAACTGACTGATGCATTAAATGTTGTATTTCTACAGCTGCTGCTACATGACCAATACAACCTCAATTTACTAAATTTAGTAAAGCAAAAAAGCTGCCTAAACCCAAACAAGCTAAAGAACAATCTATATTGTTTAATCTTTATCAGAAGCTTTGACTCTTCATGTTTCACAAAAGCCAAAGCCAAGTGACAGAAATTAAACTGCCAGTAGCCAATGTCACCTTTCCAATAGATGCTGGTCCAGTTACACAAATAGGAGATACAAAGGAAAACAAGTCTGTGCCAGCTCTGGCAGGCAGGAATACCTACACTTTCTCTTATACAAATCAGTTACGCCTCTTACCGGTTATTTGCTTTCCTTCCAGCCCAGGGCAAAACATTTTTTTTTTTTGTTTTCTGTACTTTGGCACTTCTGAGGCATTCAAGGTAAGTTTTAAAGGACATTCACAATATTTAGGATAAGCCTGGGATAATTCTTTAGGCACAAGGGCTTTGAACACAACAATTGCTAGACTATTTTGCAAAACAGAATTATCTTTGGAATGCAAGTCAGTAAATTCATACAGAATGCAGACAATTGAGTTTTTCTGTAGAAGGAATACAGGCCTTGGTTATTCTGAGAAGGAAGGCCACACCGCTTAAAACTTTGGATGGTCTAGCCTCTCCATTTCTCAACTGCCAACCCAGGGAGCAAGGATCTACTCTTTGCCATGCACACAAGTTCCCCCAGTTGAAAATTCAGCCCTGAAGGACAGGGAACTGGGCAGGACTAATCCTTTCTCCTGCTGCATACAGTTGTGCAGACAGCTTATTTAGAGATGAATGAAGAATAGAGAAAAAAATCCATAACATTATTTGGGGACCAGACCTACTACCACTGGGAATTAATGACCTTCAGCTGACCAAACAATTCTGTTATTGTTCATTATTGACATTAAGGTTCCAGCTATTATAAATACTTCAAATAAGCATTCTCTACACCTTTAGGCCTAAATGCTGAAAACAACTGGAAGTCACTGCACTTCCTTCTCCATAGAGCTAAAACTTAAAAACTACATCTGGTTTATAGATATGTTCTTTTAAGATACATAAGCATATCCTCTTGCCATGCATCACCAAGTTCACTATTAATGCAATTACTGGGTTACAGGAATCTCAAATTACATCTTTGTACAGTACAAAGCACATTGAAAATGTTATCATGATTGCTGCTGATAGATCTCTACCAACCTCAGTGGTTCAGCTGAATTACAAAACTTGCCTGGGGTGCAAGTCTAGCGAAAAATCACACTGAGCAAAGAGACCCCCTTTTGTGTTTTGGCATTAGTCTTCCCCCTTTCTTTATGACACAGGCAGGAGAGAAGGTAACAAACTCAAAATATTAAATCAACTGAGTCAAAAATTAACCCATCATCTATACCATTGTGTGTCAAAACTTTCATCAGCAATCAGAAGTTGTGAGACCAGAAGTCTGCGTATAAAATGAGAAGGTGAACAGTTCACCGATGTTTCCATAGAGGAAAACTGTATTCCAGATGAGAGAAGTCACAACCAGGGTCCTAGAATAAAGGGAATACTGCAAAGAGAATGGGGAAGACTGAAACAGAATAATAGGAGTGAACACATGACTAAAAGGCAGGCAGTGTAAAGCCCTTTCACCTATAAGAAGCAAAAGTCTGTCTCTGCCACTACCTCCTGCACCACTAACAGCAGCAACAAGCATAATGTGTTCAGGATCCAAAAAGCTATCTACGTGTAATTCCCACCCCAGGGACACAAGAAAGCGGGCCCCTACCTCAACAGAGGCAAGTGAGAAGAGGAAGCAGCACCCAGACAGTGATACCCTAACTGCTTCCTAGAGAGATGGCATCAACAAAAACCATCTCTATTACCCCCAGTTCCAACCCAGCCAAGAATCAAACTGGACACCAAGCACCCAACATATAATAAGCCTGACCCAAAGCAGACTTCTCAAAGCAACTTTATTCCACATCCTAACCACCTAACAGTTTAAATTAATAATTAGAGATAATAAACTACATTAAAACATGCCTTACAGAGATTGTAAGCTGCTTAACAGACTTGGACTAGCATCAAGATGAGGAAGGAAAAAGTAATCTTAATATAAAACCTTTTTAGATATATCTTCTTCAGATAGCAAAGGCACAAAAAATTTAATATTCATGCTCATGCATCACTGGGCCATTACATAAGACATTTCAAACATGTTATGTGCTGATGGGGGAGGAGTGAAACAGGGAAAACGGTACACGACAAGCATTTCAATAGTTCCAAGTTCACTCCTCTGCTTAATCTAATACTTCTGGTCACAGTCACACAATTCTGTTATGTCAGCTGAAAAAGCCACTTAATAACACAGGCATAACTGGGCTTCAGTTTTTATTTCTGTAAAGATAAACAAACTTGACTGTTGTCAAAATGAAATATCTAAATAAAACAAATGAAACAGAGCATACAGCAACAATTTAACACCTACTCATTCCACATTCTTTATTCACCTTAAGTGAATCTCCTCCCACTCGTTCCCTACCCACAAAATAATAAGATACTGTTCAAGGTTTGTTTTCTGTTTTCATAGCTTTCCTACTTTTTTTTTTTTGTTTAAATCCATGAAAGAAAGAGGAAATAACAAAGACACTTTGTAAAGTCGCTTCATTTCCCTAGGAAATTAAGGAGTGGGGCTGGAAGACTTTGGTTTATGGTTCCCTTAGACATTTCAGTAAAGAACAGATCTAAAACTCAAGCTAAAGAAGGAGCATCTTATCAGTAAATCCAGATTTATCAACAGAACTTACGCAAAGATAAGCTTTGGCCATCGATTTTGATGGCTGCAATTGACAGTCTTTGGGGTGTTTTTTTGTTTTACTTCTTGTAATACAGGTCCGACTTTCCGTAACAGTAAGAGCGCTGCCCAACCGAGAATACTGTCTCGACAAATTAAAGAAACAGAAACCGGGCCTTGTTTTTCCCTTAGCTGGATGAAGGACAGCACAAGTTACAACGCACGCTTCTTAGCAGAAAAAAAACCCCAAAAACTCGCCAAGCGTGAAACGCCGC